CCTTCCACTTTAGGCTCCACACTCTGGCCCTGGCCTCCATGCGTGCACGAGAATCTAGAGCTGGGTCACCCCAAGCCATCATCTCGCCAACCAAAAACTGCTTCGTCTTTGAGCCTGTTGTACAGCCCCCGTCCACCAAGCTGGTCATGCTGCAGGACCCACTGGTGGAACTTGCCGGGGCTGGCATGGAGGACAGACCTCTGGGCTCTGACAGAATTGGAGCAGGCCTGCCTACTGAGGCCCCTGAGACTCGGCACCACTGGGTGCGCACAGGAGGAGGGGGAGGCAACGGAGGAGAGACAGGAACAGAGACCGACAAGTCCCTCAAGCGCTCGCCTAACCTACTGGCCCTACTAGAGCCCCTCTGGTCCAGGAGGCCCACAAGGTCCTTCAACAGGAAATCCACCGTGGCCCACCAGTGCGCCACAGGGTCCCTAGACGAGACAATGTGGGCTCCTTGGGCCTCGGGCCTCCTAGTGAGCTCTCCAAGGGAACCTCTACCTCGGTACTTATTTTGATCACTCGGGTGTATCTCCAACATCGCGTAAAAAATGACTCAAACTTCTCAGTCCAGTCCGCGAAGGACCTGCCAACAGAAAGCGACGCCTCGGGATCCAACCGAAACGCCTTCGACTCCACTATGTACTTCGGCGGCGTGCCCTGTGGCCGACTGGCCGACAGAGCGTGCCAAAGCCTGTCCTGGGCTTCTGGCGCCGTCTCGAGGAGCAGCTGCGAGACGCTCTCTCCCTGCGCTGCTGGAGGGGCGGGGTCTGCAGGGCCTCCTGCACCCGTCGCCGCGCCTCCTGGGGGGGCGGTGTCTGCTGGGCCACCAGCACCCATCGCCACGCCCCCTGCGCCCTCAGCGCCACCCTGGCCGAACTGGCCGTCGTCGTCGCCAGTCGACTCGCCGTCATCCTCCTGCTGCGGGTCATCCTCTGACTCCAGGCCCCAATCCTGCGCCCCCAAGTACTGCAAGGGAGGCGGCATCTTGAACCTGATCTGCTTCCGCGCTCTCAGCGGAGGACGTGGTAGTTCTGGCTCTGGCTCAGCGGCGGCCTCATTGAGCTGGCGCAGCAAGCGCTGTCGAGACCTCTTGCTGGTCGGATCCGCTTGCTTCTTGGGCCTCGGTGGGTACTGAAATCTCTGAGGCATACTGAGTACCCATCTCTGAGCCGTCACTAACCTCAGCTGCAACTTCGTCAAGATGCCGAAGTGCGACTTACCTGCTCCAAAGCATGCTTCATCATCCACCGTCATGGAGCAGGCGAAACGAACCATCGAGCGTGACAGAACTGCGAAATCAATCATCCTCGTTTGGCCAGCCGTGCATGTGTATTCTGCACCCGGGGGGACACGAATCAACCCGTCCACCAGCGATGGCCATCCTGACTTCTGCAGCTCGATCGGGGTCGCGTTGAAGTCCCCAATGACCAGCCAGGGCGCCTTGATAGACTGCAACAGCGTACCTAACTGGATCAGCTTTGACACGTTCAAGCCTGTGATGCCCACATCCGCAGTCAAGTAGATGCCGAAGACAGAAATAGACTGGCCACCAATCTTGAGCTGACATCCTACAACGTCTCTGAAATCAATCCCCGACACGGTGGTGCCTGGCTCCTGGATATGTCGGAGCCCCATCTGCATATGTCTGTCGGTCGCAAGGTAGCGAAAACTCTGAAACTGAAATCTCTTCTTGACCCCCATCGAGATCCCACAAGCCTTGGCCGTCGCCTTCAGCTGATAGGATGGAGCCACCACTGGTTGGTACCCTCTAAGGCTCCAATCATGGAGCACCTCTGTACACATCTATGGGAGAACGTGCAACTCGGGCAGAATGACTATGTCGTACAAGCCCTCAGCAAGAAGGCATTTGGACGAGTGCCCCCAGCCCGAGAGGTTCCTCATATATAGAGTGTGCGCGTCACCCGCACGGTGGCTCCCCCTCCATCTTCTGCTCACGAAGGTTGCGGACGAGGGCATCCACCTCACCCTGCAAGCGGTCAGACGCGGCCTTGAGCGAATGCTCATCCCCAGGAGCTGGCGCTGCGCGAGGGGCGGGGTCTGCTGCCGAGCCACGGACAGCACCCGTCGCCGCTCCTCGCGCAGGCGCCTCAGGGGCTGCGTCGGCACCTCCACGGGGTGCGCTGGACGCTGCTCCCTGGCTCGCTGGTTCGGCCGCAGCCTGAGCCTCACCCAGGTTGCCTTTCCTCTTCTTGCGGGCTCTCTCGAGGACAGCAGGAGGCCTCAAGAGGCCCCCACGAGGCTCTCCATAGGGCCCCAAGAGACTCACTCCAAGAGGCCCCCTAGAGGCGCTCAAGACGCCCCACGAGGCCTCGGCGAGAGTGCCCAAATCATTGATTATACTCAGGCGTTGGCGCATTTTGGCCTCCGCCGATACTCCAGGCAAAATATTCATAAGGATTCCTACGGCGGAGATGAAAACGCATAAAACACTGCGGGGGGGTTCCAACATCTGGCGGCCAACGCCCCGGACACGAAGAAAGTGTTACAGAAAAACTGGCGGCGGCCGCGTGCAGAAGCCAAGACGACAAAATGATAACGACGGCGACGGACGCTGCGCACACTATTTGTATACACGAAATGAACATGGACAGATATCGGTGTAGACAATGTATGTAGACGTGCGTAAGTCGCGCACATGCGCGCATGCATTCTAATAGCGGATACTTGTGACCTGAAAGTCGTCGGAACGCGAGATACAAGCCTGATTCCGACGCCGCCATCCAATTCCAAATGTTCCTCCATCCTCTTAACCGAAAACGCCCGCAAGCCCGCAACCGCGACGAGGCCTCTGGCCCACGACCAAGGCGCGGTGGCGGGGTGGGCTGAATGCAATTATACAGACAACCGATGCCCCTCTCGGATTTCGGCGGCAAGTGAGCTCGGCCAGAGACCCCACTGCGAACTCGCCGCGGCGGCGGCGGTCCCGAACACTAGGTGCACTTTTCAAAAAAACGGATTCGGCGACGGCGGCCCGCCCAGCTGCGGGGCGTGGAGGCTCAGTAGACCTGGTGTTCAAATCCCACCATCCCTCTGAGCGTGAGTGGTTTCGAGCGTTTCCTCTTCCGACCCCCCTTCTTCCCCTTCGGGGAGACGCTTGCCCCTCACCCTCCCCTCCCCTTGGATCTGGGCGGGGAAGGTCGCGAGGTGTCAGAGCGTCCAAAGCGGCCTCGGCGAGAATGCCCCAATCAGTGTGCTTACTATGGATTTGGCAGCATTTTGGCCTCGTGGGGGTAGGGGGTGCTAATAGGAGCTCCCCTCCTTTGATCGATATCCTTCAAGATGGCCCCAAGATGGCTCAGAGGCTCCCAAGGGTAGGAGGCCCCAAGAGGCTCCAAATATGCCCCCAATAAGCTCCCAAGAGACCCCCAAGAGGTCCCCCAAAGGCATTAAAAACGCCCCAAGACGCCCCGGGACTGTCCCAAGACGTCCCAAGACGCCCCAAGAGGGCACCAATAAGCTCTCGAAAAACATCCGGAGAAACTTCGAGAGGCATCCAAAATGCGTCTGGCCTTTCTGCTCCTCCTCCTCCTCCTCCTCCTCCTCTTCCTCCTCCTCCTCCTCTTCCTCATCCGCGAATTCGTTCCCCTCCTCTTCCTCCTCTTCCTCCTCCTCCTCCTCCTGCTCTTCCTCCGATTCCTCTCCCATGCTCCTCCTCTAGGGGTATGACGTCTTGACTAGCCAGCCCTTCATTCCACTGCATGCTCTTCCACATCCCTGATCAGGATGGGCTGGTGGGGTTACGCGAAGCGTGTATATGTGCACATGGGGCTATCAAAATTATCTAGGATGACAAACCAGTCCCCGGATGAGGCGGAGAGAGATCTGCGGGCCCATCTCACGACAATCCTCCTGGGGGTCGTCCTGGGGGGGACCCTCGTCGCCACAGCTGGATTTGCCTCGAGATCCCGGCCAGGGCGCACTAAAGGACGGATCTAGGAGTCGACCTCTATCGCCATGCCCAGGATCTGAGGCCCTTGAGCGCGTCACGACGGCCAGCGTGTTGGAGCCTGGACCCCTGGAGGCCCTCTTCGGCCAACAGACGACCCGCGCCGCGAACTCCATACGGCCGCGCTCCAGAGCCCCTGGAGCCCCAATGAGAACAGAAATCACGCCTACTCGGAGTGCCACGCTTGCATCCGCCGCCGTCCGCCGCCCTGACACCGTTGGAGCCGCCCTCGGCTTACTTCCACAGCCTTCCGCCAGCCTCCCGCCGCCTTCCGCTGAAAAAGAGAAGTGGACTTCTCAATGCCTCGAGGGCGAGTCCCTCCACAGACCACCCCGCGAATGCTGGGGTCGGGTGCCCCGAGGATTGAACATGGCCAGGGAGGGCGTCAGAGGACTGGGGGTGAGTGAAGGTCTCGCAGCGATCTGCGAATCTGCTGGTGCCTGTGAGGACCCCCGTCGCTGCCAGACCGGACGCGGCCGACCAGCGGAGGCAGGCTCGAGGGAGGAGGAGGAGGAGGAGGAGGAGGAGGAGGAGGAGGAGGAGGAGGAGGAGGAGGAGGAGGAGGAGGAGGAGAAGGAGGAGGAGAAAGAGAGGAGGAAAAGGAGGACCAGCAGCAGCAGCAGCAGCAGCAGCAGCAGCAGCAGCCTGTTTTGGTCTCACGGACCCACACTTCTCTTCGTGGCAAAAAAAAGCACGACGGGGAACGTTTGCAATTTTTCGGCCACTGGGGGCCCCCTTCCCCAGCCCCAGGACTAGGAAACAAACGCTCGCGAGGAACAGCTGGTCCTGGGGATAAAGGTCTGGGCCTCCTGGGGCCCACGCTGCCGAATAATTCAAGACGTCAGAGGTACTCCTGATGGCGTGGCCCCCCTGCTTGTCGGTGTCCCGCTCGAATCATCTCAAATATCCAGCTTGGGGGTGCGTCGTGAACCTCCTCACCTGAGGAGGCCCGCTGGTGATGGTGTTGCTCCTCTTTCGTCCGATGATCTTCTCGTGGGTCTCCCAAACCGATCTCAGCTAGGCGGGCTGCTCGCATCGTCATGACAACGGCGCCGGCGAGGACGGAGAACCTGAGCTCAGGCAAACGATCAACTGAGATGGACTCTGGCAAGAGGATAAGGACGACGTGGTGGAGTGGCGCGGGAGGAGGATGCGGTGGACGCTGCGGAGGAGGAGCATGGGTGGGCTTCGAGTGAGGAGGTGGAGGAGGAGGCGAAGGAGGAGGAGGATGAGGGAGAGATGGAGTGTGGAGTGTGGAGCGTGGATTGTGGAGGAGGAGGAGGAGGAGGAGGAGGAGGAGGAGGAGGTGAGGGAGGAGGGAGGAGGGAGGGACAGAATCGGAGGAGTATAAGGAGGAGAGCGGCGAGGTAGACTTGGCGAGGTAGAGGAGGAGGAGGAGGAGGAGGAGGAGAGGAGGAGGAGGAGGAGGAGGAGGAGGATGAGGAGGAGGGAGGAGGAGGAGGAGGAGGAGAGGAGGAGGAGGAGGAGGAGGAGGAGGAGGAGGACCCCAAAGCGGAAGGGGGGTGCCGCCTGGCCCACTACCCAGAAGCCGTGGGGCAGGCGTACCCCGCCGCAGGAGGGATTCATAGATAAAAGCCTTCCTAAGCAAGAAGGAGGGACGATGCTGGCCCCTGATAAGGGTGAACATCTCCCTCAAGAGGAGGGGGGGGACCTGCACTACCCCAGCAGAAAGAAAAGCGAGATGAGGAGGCAAGACAAAACAAGGGGGAGGGCGGAGAAGGAGGAGGAGGAGCAGGAGGAGGAGGAGGAGTAAGAGGAGGGGGGATGAGGAACCAGGCAGGGTGAAGGACGAGGAGACGATCAGGCCATGCAGAAACACCGAGCAGCAGCTGGAGGGCCCTCCAAGCCCACCCAAACAATGGGGATGCCACGAGCCAGTCAGACAGACACGACAACGAATACAATGCTGATCCCAACACTTCCAATACATCACATGTTCGCCTAACTTCTCGAGGAGAACCAGCCGTCCCGACGGCAAGAAACCAAGCGTCCCGATTTTTCGAGCCGCCCGATGTGTTGGATAGGGCGCCTGGGCTTGCATGCACGCGGCAAATGCCGGTCGTGTCGACGCGGACGCTGTTCTCCGACACCGCGCTGATCCGTAAACCAATGTTGGGCGACCTGTGCCTTTCGACATCAGCGAAGGCTCAAGGTTGGGTCGGTTTATAAGCATCGTCATAGGCCACTCCCTTCGGGTTTCGAAGGCTATATCCCCCACTGGTGTGCTAAGATGGTGGGGTCTAGACAGGCATGGGCATGGGGATAGGGGTCGGTGAAACGATGCTGACTTCGGGTTGCTGGTGGGTTTCAACCTTGCGCGCCCACGTCCCGCGTCGCCGCCGAGTTGGCACGGCGCGGACCCACCGTGCTCGTAGTCGTCGTCGTCGTCGTCGTCGTCGTCGTCGTCGTCGTGGTCGTCGTCGTCGCCGCTGCCGTCGTCGCCGCTGCCGTCGTCGCCGTCGTCGCCGTCGTGGTGGTCGTCGTCGTCGTCGCCGTCGTCGTCGCCGTCGTCGTCGTTGCCGTCGTGGTCGTGGTCGTCGTCGCCGTCGTCGTCGTCGCCGTCGCCGTCGTCATTGTCGCCGTCGTCGTCGCCGCCGTCGCCGCCGTCGTCGTCGTCGTCGTCGTCGTCGTCGTCGTCGTCGTCGTCGTCGTCGTCGTCGTCACGGCGCCCGCTGTTCACCTGGGACGCGCGGCAGCACGCAGGGAGGGGTCCGCGCCGCGCTGCGCCGCTGCGCGAGGGGTGCCTGGCCGCCGGCGGGGCACGGCTGCCACCAGACAGGAGGGGGCACCGTCGGTCAGGGCTGCCACCGGCCAACCGACGGGCCACAACGTAAAGTTGCTCTCTCTTCAATAGAAGAAACAACGGCATAAACATAAACTTTTGGCGCTCCCCGCGGATTTCTTGGATCCGCGCTGGACCCCGTTCCCTGGCGCGCGGAGCGCGCCAAGGGCGGCGCCGGAGGCGCCGCTGGGGGGCCCAGCGCAGATCGAAGAAATATGCGCGGAGCGGCAAAAGCTTATGTTTATGGCGTTTTTCTTCGTCGAATAAGGCACGCCACTGCAATAACGGTACTGTTTCGGTGTACTGGTGGTCAAACTAATGCGGACCGTGCCGACATGACATAACAACCGACGAGCCAGCGCAACGTCAAATACATCACACCGTAGCGCACAAACGACACAGACGAGGACCGCGAGGGACACCAGCATGAATATAATGCACGAGGAGGGCTGGAGGAACCGAAACGGACGGACCCAAGGGAAACATCGGGCCCTTTCCGAACCCAAACCTGCTTCTTCTCTCAGCGCCTTGGCTACAAGGGAACACAAGTCCCGAGCAGAGCAACACGCAACACGACTAACTACAATGCCGACGACGCCAACGCTGACGTCGACGCCGGCAGCGCCGACGACGCCAACGACGACGACGAATAAGACGACGAATAAGACGACGAAAAAGACGACGAATAAGACGACGACGACGACGACGACACGACGACGACGACGACGACGACGACGACGACGACGACGACGACGACGACGACGACGACGACTGGGACGACTGGGACGACTGCGACGACGACGGAAACGACGGGGATGAGGCGCGCTAGAGATCCGCACCGAAGCACGGACTTGAGAGCGGGCCCGCGCTACGGGGTCTGTAGAGCGGAAGGAGGAAGCCGCGACGAGCGTTGGCGTCGCCTGAAAGGGCTCCGAGGCGCAGCGGCGTCGCCAGGACGGGCCGCGCGGGGGGGAGGCCTCTCGGGGCAGGCGCGCGCAGCGAGAAGCACTGCCCCAGCGGGCACGGAAGACACCACAACAACTGCATCAGGGGCTGCACAGCCCGCGCGGGACCGCGGGCCCCGCGCCCTGGGGTCGCCGTGCGGCTGGTCCTCCGCGTGCTGGACCGCACTCTCCTCCTGCTGACAGTCGTCGCCGCCACCACCGCCATCACCACCCTCACCATCCTCGCAATCGCCATCCCTAAACCTCACCACCACCACCTCCACCACGGCATGGGGATGGCTGAAGGTTCGATGGCTTTTCCACAAGTGGCGGATCGAGCCAGAATGGAAGCGGCGCCTCCGCATGCCATGGCCAGTTGCAATCTCAGCAGCCCCCCATCCCGTAGGGCGAACTGCTCGGGTGCTTTCACCTGCGTTTCTTAATGCCTTGCTACGTACGCTGAGCTGTGTCAGCAAATCTGTGGGGCTGGCGTTTGCGCACGAGCCACAGACGTCGGAGGTGACGCCGGGAGCTCTTGGGGCGGCGCTGCACGCCTGCTCTCCGCGTACAGTAGTGGCCCTGTGAGAAGGCAAGGGGCTGCTTGGAACGCATGGGGCCTCCCAAGGAGGACCCCCGGACGCTTCCAAGAAGGCTGGTCAGAAGCCGGGGGGGCTTGCAAGAAGGCCGCCCCCGCCGTGCCAAGTGCCAACCCCTCCCCGGGCCCGAGGCTGGCCCCCAGAGGCCAATGCGGCGACAGCCCGTGGGCCTCGATTTCTCCAGGGCGCCACATGGCCGATTTCGGAAACCATGATCCCCAACAAAATGTCCATCCTTCGAGGGCACGGCTTTTACTTCCGCAGGCTTCCGATGGCCTTCCGCCGGCCAAGCCGCTGCCGCTTTACTTCCGCCGCCTTCCGCCGAGGACGAGATGGCAACTCCTTCGATCCGCGAAGGCAAGGCCCTTCCTGGAACGCCTCACGTGCTTGGGTTGCGCGCGCCGCCAAGACAACCTGACGACTTCACCCTTGGCTCCCGGCACCGCATGGATCGTTCAGCCCCGAACAATCGCGGCCTTGCGATCGCGCGGAACGTTCGATGTCGGCCAGCTCGGGGCCACCGGCGGCGTCAAACCTTGAACGCCCGCACTGGGGCCGCCGCCGTGCCGACGCGGCACGACTCCACCGTGTCGAAACCAAGAGGTGCTGACACCGCTACTCCCCGGACCTCTCCCAGGGCGCGTTCTGACCAGAGTCTCTAGGCAAAGGCAAACCCAGCCGTTTGGCGGGAAGGCTTCCAGGCTGCTTCTTAGAAGGCCCCGGCCGTACATCTACAGACAAGGCCCGCGCCTTCTAAGAAGCAAGGGTGCTTCTGAGAAGCCTTCCCCCCTTCCCCTGCCCCCCTCTGCGTGTGGCCGAACCGTGGCGACGAGGGCCTCTCCGGAGACCCAAAGAGACGGAAGCGAGGGAATCGAAGGGCAGCAGTGTCGGTACCTCCGCATCCTCCTCCTCCTCCTCCTCCTCCTCCTCCTCCTCGTCCTCCTCCACCCTCCTCCACCCTCCTCCTCCTCCGTCCTCCGTCCTCCGTCCTCCTCCTGCCCCTCCTCATCCTCCTCCTCTTCCTAGCTCCTCCTCCTCCTCCTCTGGCACCGCCCGGGGGAGATTCCGGGGGCCCCCGGGAGCCACGAGCGGAACGCCACCGCCGTGGCCGCGCCGGGCACGTCCAGGATGAGCAGGGGCGAGCCGACCACGAGGCTCAGCCCCAGCACCTCGCGGCGGGGGGCGCTGCCCGAGGCCGCCCGGGCAGGAGCAGAGGAGCGCGAGCCGGGCAGAAGTCCCCAACCCCACACGCGCTCGCGTCGCATGGGCGGCGCGCGGGGCCCAGAGCCCCCCTCGCGTCGTGAACAAAATCGCGACGTGAGGTTTTTCGCTATTTTCGGCCTCCAGGCCCTCGCCGGGCCTCAGGACCGTCACGAAACGACTCGGGGTGCAAAGAGCCGGTCCCCAAGAAGGGGTCCAGGCTCCTGGGGGCCACGCCACGACAAAAATCACGGCGTCGGGGGTCTGGGAGGGGGGGCCAGGAGGCGGGCTCCGGGGCCGCAAGCAAAGCGACCCGCGATGGCAAGTCGGCCCTGGGGAAAGGGTCGGGCCTTCCGGGGTCCCACACATGCTCGCGTCGTATGGGCAGCGCGCGGGGGAGGGGGGAAGGCTTCTTAGAAGGAGGCTGCTTCTCAAAACGCGCCAGCCCTACATCTACAGACAAGGCCCGCGCCTTCTGAGAAGCATTGGTGCTTATGACAAGCCTTCCCCCCTCTCCCTGCCCCCCTTTGTACGCGGCTGATCGCAACGAGAAACACGAAGGGAAACGTTCGGCTGCTACCGCCACCCCCGGACCTCTCCTCGGGTGCCTTCTGAGCAGAACTTCGAGGCGCATCCAGCGGTGGCGATGACAAGTGGGCATCGCTGATGGGGCACTAACGTATTTCTTCTTCAGTGAATCCTCTGATATGAGCGTTGCGTAGAACATGCTGGCGGCCAATCTTTCAGCACCCTTTGCCCCTGGAGGCGGCTCCCTGGCCCTGGGGTGTTCATACAACGACTCGGGATGAAAAACAAGGTCTGGGACAATGATAGAGACCTCCAGACTCCAGGGCCCGCGTGGTGGAAAAATCACGCCGTCGGAGGAGAAGGGCCTGTGGTTTTTGAAATGCTCGGAACGCCTTCGGAGGCCTCCGTCGGGACGTCCGGGATACCCCTGGAGACAGGCACTTCCAGGGACGCCTGGAGACCTCTCGGGAACTCCTGAACGTCACAGGCGCAGGGACGCTGATAAAAGAACTCCAGGGAACTCCTTAACGCCGAGTGCGCGCGGACGCTAACCGTGCTGCACAAGTCACTGAGTCACCGCTATGCTTCCAGGGGCGGCTTCCTCCAGCGCCTGGGAAAGCGACATCCTAACACCCCAGGACCTGAGGAGGCGGTGCATATATATATATATATATATATATATATATATATACATACATACATACATACATACATACATATATATAGAGATATAGATATAGATATAGATATAGATATAGAGAGAGATATGTGCATATAAATAAATATTCCTATTCACTTCTTTATACATACATACATACATATATATATATATATATATATATATATATATATAGGGCCGGGGACGCCGGAAAACATCCCCCTCCTAGCGAATTTGGCCCACCCCGGGGCTCTCGGGCAACCTTCCAGACGACTCGGGAGAACCCCACGAAAGCCCGAAGACGGCCCCAAGGGCTCCAGGCGTTCCGGCGCGCTCCGAAACGACCCCAGAGAGCCCCAAGACGGTCCACGACGACCGCAAAGGAGCCGTCATACCCCCAAAGATCCCTCCAAAATGTCCCAAGAGGCCTTCAAAAACACTCCCGTCCCACGAGGCAAAATGCATTGATTTGCTGTTGGTTTTTGATGAATTTTGGGGTTCTCCTCTTTGCGGCTTTCCGACGCTCCAAGACGGCGGTCTTCTGGGCGTCCGAAGCCGCCTGGGATGCTCGAAAATCGTCCCATAACCATCCGAAAGGGCTTCCAGGCAGTCCAAGAAAGCCCTGAGACAGCACAACAGGGTTCCAAGATGGCCTAAGAGAGCCCCAGGACGGCCCAAAATGTCCCCAAGACACCCTCCGAAGCATTCTAAATCGTGACCCGGTCGTTCAGGGAGACCGCAGTTGGAGGCAGGGTGGCCCGAGAAAGCCCCCAGAGGCCCCGAGAAGACTCCCAGGAGGCCTCCAGAAGGCCTTAAGGAAGCTTGAAAAACTTTCGTGACGCCCCCAGAGGGTATGGCGAGAATGAAACAAAGTACGCATGGAGGAAGGAACACGAATACCATTATTTATAATGGCGATGCCGGAAAATCCAACAAGGACATATCGCAAAATTGTTGGCTTGGCTTTCCTGCCATTCCGCCTGCATACCACATGTCAAGGACCAAGGTGCATGGCGCGAAGCGCCAGTGCAGTCTTGTATATATATATATATATTTATATAAATATGTATATATATGTATGTATATATATATGTACGTGTATATGTTTTATGCCTGCGTGTATGTGTATACATGTGTATGTCTACATGTTATGTATATATATATATATATGCGCATGAAGATGTATATGCACATACATATATATATATGTATATATATATGTATACATGTATATGTATATGTATGCGCATATGCATGTGCATATGCATGCGCATATGTATGTGCATGTATACATGTCCGTCTGTCTGTCAGCATGCATGCATGCATGTACGTATGCACGTATGGACATATGTACGTGTGTACGTATGTATGTATGCATGTTTACATGCATGCATGTATGCATGTGTGTGAATATATCTGTTCTCGGGCCCCAAGGGGGCCAGACGATACCCATATTCACCGCCTCCTGCGGGTCCTGGGACATCGTTTCCCCAGGCTGCGCGGCCCCCAGACAATGATGGAACACACGCCTGCCTAGGAGCCTCCCGCTCCCACGGGGTGCCCTCGCTGCCCAGACCTCCAGCGCCAGCACCTCCCGCGCGGCAGAATCCGCGCCGACCGCGGCGTGAAGCGAAGGATCGCCGCTCCGACCGCCGCCGCAGCTGCGGCGGCGGCGCCTGCCGTGCGATAGGCTCAAGATTGATGACCCTCAGGACGTGCGCTGGCTTCAACGTGTGCTTGTCCAACGGAGCCCTTCACACTACGACGAAGGCGAAACAATGCAGGCCGCCACTGGGGAAACCACAAGGGATCGATTACGCTACTCGCCAGACCTCTCCTGGGGAGCGTTCTGACCAGAACTTCGAGGCGAATCCAGCAGTGGCGACGAGGGCCCCCCAGGAGGCCCAGGGAGGCGAAAACGAGGCAAAGGTGGCGGCATCGGTACCCTTCAAACTTTTTCGCCTCTGAGATGCAGGCTAGGTGCGATCGGTAGAGCTGAGCGCGGTAAACTCACATTGGGCTAACTTCTTTGGTCTACTCATGATCGGCGAACATATCCGTATCCGCGCCCACGCGGCCTAAAATCCAGGGGGCGATCCTGCGGATACGCGGTCGCACGGATACGTTCCGCGAAGGGCATCCGCGAAAAACGCACCGTATCCGCCGGGTCGCGGCCCAGGGGCCCAGCCCGCGAGGCCGCGGATACGGACATGTGTCTTGCTCCGTTGAGGCGTTGCTTCGCATTTAGACTTCAGTGTTCAGTAAGCTTCACTTGGACATCAACTGGACACCTGGGAAGACGGAAGCCTTGACAGCGTGGCGTGGTCACGGCGCAGTCCCTGCTCGCGAGCGGTGGCGGCATGCTGATGGACGCCTGCGCATTCCCGTCCCTAGCTCCGACGATCTCTTCTTGAATGTTGTACCATCGTACAAGCATCTTGGCACGCTGATATCCAATGCCCCTGAGACGTTTGCCAATGCAGAGCACCGGACATCTTCAGCCATGGAGTCATATACCCCAGTTGCCTTCAATATGTATGGCAATCCGAACGTGCCTTGGCATCACAAGACGAGCTTCCTACGTAGTCTTTCCCTGTCTCGTGAACTCTTCAACGTGCACATTACTGTCCCGAGTGCCCGGGATGGTCACCTACAACACCTGCTACATGCGTCCTCTGCGCCGGATTGTGGGCGACATGCGCTTCAGCAGCGACACTGATCAGACCGACATAGAAGTAAGGCGTCTGCTGGACATGCCGTCTGTCGATTGTTTGATATCTTGTCCACGCCTCGCGTACGTCGAGCGATTGCTCAGTCTTGCCCCGCGTGCTTTGCTTGGGCTGCTCCACCTCCGGCGCGGTGAGCGCAGGCTCCCGTGGGTGCGCCAGCTTGCTCAATATTGCAATTCGCTCTGGGATCGCGGCCTCGTTCCCGACACCCTTCCGCCGTTTTTTGACGATCCTGACGGCTGGCACCAATTCACCCTCTCCTCTAGCTGGTCAGACGCCCATGAGTCCCTGCACCATTTTGAGAGTGTAACTGACCGTGTACAGAATGCACAGCCTGCAGATGGCGAGCGTCAGTTGGCTCATAAATGCCACTGGTGCCAGCGCTCCTTCGCAAAGAAGCGTGCGCTTGAGTCGCATGCCCGCGCCAAGCACGGCGACCGCCTGCTCATACGCTGTTATGTCGCCAACAGCACATGCCCGTGTTGCGACACTGACTTCAGAGATAGCCTGCGGCTCATACCTCACTTATCTGACCGTAGACGGCCCAAGTGCTCAGATTAGGTCCTCGCACACTGCTCTCCGCTGTCGAGCGAATGTATAGCTGCACTCGACAAGGAGGACCGTGCTGCTCGCACTGCTGCACAGCGGGCTGGGCGCCCTCATTCTTTGGCCTAGCTTCCTGCTGGCCGCGCCAGCGGTGCCATCGTTGGGCGCATCGGCGCCTGGCGTGGCCCGAGTGTACGCGCTGTGACCCGGCAGCGCGGCTATCCCACTATTTGGGATAACGTGCGCGCCGAGCGATTATCCCAGTATATGGGATAAAGAGTTTTTCGCATCTGGAGACTGTCATGCCCCTGCCAATAAAAATGTCTTGCTCACGATTTACGGCGAGTTGGGTCCAACAGGCGGTCCAGCAAACGGCGGGACGCATCCGCTGCGAATTGAGGCACATGATCGGGGGTTGCTAAAGGTGCCCCTGGCGCAGGTTTACCCCCAGCTTTTCGCTTAATTCTGAAGCCCCTGGGGCCCCCTGAGCCTCGTGAGGGGTGCCGTGGAGGCCTTGGAAATCCTGGGGGCACGTTGGGCCAGGGGCACTTCTAGCAACACCCGACAGGGGCGCATGCGAGCGAGGGGCCACATCGGGCTAGCACACGTCCCGAGGATCCTCGGCAGTGGCTTTTGAGGCCTAGGACCGAGCGCGCCGCCGCCGTCGTCGCCGCCGTCGTCGCCGTCGTCGCCGTCGTCATCGTCGTCGTCGTCGTCGACGCCGTCGCCGTCGACGCCGCCGCCGCCGCCGTCGTCGTCGTCGTCGTCGTCGTCGTCGTCGTCCTTCCGCTCTTAAGCCTCTGCCTCCTCTCCTCCTTCTCCTCCGCGTCCTCGCCGCCCGGGAGCGCCCACAGCAGGATGATCTGGATGGGCGGCATCTTGCGCTGCACCTGGGCGGGCGGTGCGGGCCCCCGCTGCCGCGGCCTGGCACCCGGTCGAGAGCACCAGCCCTGAGATCCGGGCGTTGCCATTTGTTCCCGCCACCAAGGCCACAGGATTGCCAGAATGCATCCAGGTGATATCTGGGGCCCAGAACTCCAGAAACTTCAGAAACATACGAACCACAACGCAAGTTCGGGCCCTGGGCGTTTTCGCCTGACCTCAGGCCCCAGGGCCATTACAAATCAATCGGCTTCGGAAACGCGCTAGAAAGACGGGGTCTAGGGCTCCAGTCGTAATTTGTCACGACGCCGTATTTTTGTTCGCCACGTCGGATTCCAGGGAAGGACGAGGGCGAAGCCATGATAGGGTTGGGTCAAGAGGCGTTCCAGGATTTCCAGAGTATCTGGCGGCCCTCGCTTCTGGAGCACTTGCGGCACAGTATCAAACCTGGGGCATCCTGGACCGCATCATTATCATGACCTCTGGCCCCTCTGCGGCACGCCGACGCCGCCGCCGTCCTCGCCGCCGTCGTAGCCATTCCCAGACCTCCGACGTCGAAAAATGTTGGTCTGCAACACGGCCCCCGGGGGTCCAGATCACTTCCCCGTGACCTGCTTCTCTGAATCGATTTGTCGGGCCTGGCAGTGCCCCTCCCGGGGGCCGACCACGGCGAAAGGTCTGCCGTCGGGCCGTCGTGAAGGTGCCCACGGCGCGACTACAACGCTCAGCGAAATCAAACGCAAGCTTTCTGCTGCGACATGGCGGCGCCCCCGGACCCCCCAATCCCCCAATGTCAATGCTCGCGTCGAAGCTGGCGACTTACATTGTTCTTCGGACAACGCGGGCCGTGCTGCACGCGTCGCCGAACATGGAAATTTCGGGGGCGAGGAGGGGTTGGAAACAACTTGTGTTTGATTTCGAGAGTGGTCGTAGGTCAGGGCAGAAAGCTGTTCATTTCAGTACGTCCTCTGCGCTCAGGAGCTCCGAGAAGGTCTCAAAAGGTCCCTAGAGTAGAAGAAGAAGAAGAAGAAACATACTAATAATAATAATAATGATAATAATAATAATAACAATAATACTAAGAATAATCATAATAATACTAATAATAATAAGAATCATGATAATAATAATGATAATAATAAAAATAATAATTATCCTGGCGAAAGACCCAACCATAAGCAATTGTTGGTAACGCGTTGTGGGTGCCGCTTTCGGTGGGGCTCCATATGGGGCCACGAAGCGCTGCCTTGGATAGGGGGAACCGCATGCGGACTGCGCCACCGGGGCGGGCCTTCGGTGGAGCTCCCTATGGGGCTACGAAACGCTGCCCTGGGTGGGGGAACCGCATGCGAACTGCGCCACTGGGGCCTTCGGTGGAGCTCCCTATGGTGCCACGAAACGCTGCCCTGGGTGGGGGAAGCGCATGCGAACTGCGCCACGGGGGCTTTCGGTGGAGCTCCCCATGGGGCCACGAAGCGCTGCCCTGGGTGGGGGAACCGCATGCGAGGCAGCCACTGGGGCCTCCGGTGGAGCTCCCTATGGGGCCACGAAACGCTGCCCTGGGTGGGGGAACCGCATGCGAGAGGCCACTGGGGCCTTCGGTGGAGCCCCTATGGGGCCACGAAACGCTGCCCTGGGTGGGGGAACCGCATGCGAACACCCCCACTGGGGCCTTCGGTGGAGCTCCCTATGGGGCCACGAAACGCTGCCCTGGGTGGGGAACCGCATGCGAACACCCCCACTGGGGCCTTCGGTGGAGCTCCCTATGGGGCCACGAACGCTGCCCTGGGTGGGGGAACCGCATGCGTGGGGCCTTCGGGAGCTCCCTATATCCGCTCTTCGGTGGAGCTCCCCATGGGGCCACGAAACGCTGCCCTGGGTGGGGGAACCGCATGCGAACACCCCCACTGGGGCCTTCGGTGGAGCTCCCTATGGGGCTACGAAACGCTGCCCTGGGTGGGGGAACCGCATGCGAACACCCCCACTGGGGCCTTCGGTGGAGCTCCCTATGGGGCCACGAAACGCTGCCCTGGGTGGGGGAACCGCATGTGGACACCCCCACTGGGGCCTTCGGTGGAGCTCCCTATGGGGCCACGAAACGCTGCCCTGGGTGGGGGAACCGCATGCGGACACCCCCACTGGGGCCTTCGGTGGAGCTCCCTATGGGGCTACGAAACGCTGCCCTGGGTGGGGGAACCGCATGTGGACACCCCCACTGGGGCCTTCGGTGGAGCTCCCTATGGGGCCACGAAACGCTGCCCTGGGTGGGGGAACCGCATGTGGACACCCCCACTGGGGCCTTCGGTGGAGCTCCCTATGGGGCCACGAAACGCTGCCCTGGGTGGGGGAACCGCATGCGGACACCCCCACTGGGGCCTTCGGTGGAGCTCCCTATGGGGCCACGAACGCTGCCCTGGGTGGGGGAACCGCATGCGAACACCCCCACTGGGGCCTTCGGTGGAGCTCCCTATGGGGCCACGAAACGCTGCCCTGGGTGGGGGAACCGCATGCGAACACCCCCACTGGGGCCTTCGGTGGAGCTCCCTATGGGGCTACGAAACGCTGCCCTGGGTGGGGGAACCGCATGCGGACACCCCCACTGGGGCCTTCGGTGGAGCTCCCTATGGGGCCACGAAACGCTGCCCTGGGTGGGGGAACCGCATGTGGACACCCCCACTGGGGCCTTCGGTGGAGCTCCCTATGGGGCCACGAAACGCTGCCCTGGGTGGGGGAACCGCATGTGGACACCCCCACTGGGGCCTTCGGTGGAGCTCCCTATGGGGCCACGAAACGCTGCCCTGGGTGGGGGAACCGCATGTGGACACCCCCACTGGGGCCTTCGGTGGAGCTCCCTATGGGGCCACGAAACGCTGCCCTGGGTGGGGGAACCGCATGTGGACACCCCCACTGGGGCCTTCGGTGGAGCTCCCTATGGGGCCACGAAACGCTGCCCTGGGTGGGGGAACCGCATGCGGACACCCCCACTGGGGCCTTCGGTGGAGCTCCCTATGGGGCCACGAAACGCTGCCCTGGGTGGGGGAACCGCATGTGGACACCCCCACTGGGGCCTTCGGTGGAGCTCCCTATGGGGCTACGAAACGCTGCCCTGGGTGGGGGAACCGCATGTGGACACCCCCACTGGGGCCTTCGGTGGAGCTCCCTATGGGGCCACGAAACGCTGCCCTGGGTGGGGGAACCGCATGTGGACACCCCCACTGGGGCCTTCGGTGGAGCTCCCTATGGGGCCACGAAACGCTGCCCTGGGTGGGGGAACCTATGGGGCACGACTGGGGCCTTCGGTGGAGCTCCCTATGGGGCCACGAAACGCTGCCCTGGGTGGGGGAACCGCATGTGGACACCCCCACTGGGGCCTTCGGTGGAGCTCCCTATGGGGCCACGAAACGCTGCCCTGGGTGGGGGAACCGCATGTGGACACCCCCACTGGGGCCTTCGGTGGAGCTCCCTATGGGGCGAAACGCTGGTGGGGGAACCGCATGTGGACACCCCCACTGGGGCCTTCGGTGGAGCTCCCTATGGGGCCACGAAACGCTGCCCTGGGTGGGGGAACCGCATGTGGACACCCCCACTGGGGCCTTCGGTGGAGCTCCCTATGGGGCCACGAAACGCTGCCCTGGGTGGGGGAACCGCATGTGGACACCCCCACTGGGGCCTTCGGTGGAGCTCCCTATGGGGCCACGAAACGCTGCCCTGGGTGGGGGAACCGCATGTGGACACCCCCACTGGGGCCTTCGGTGGAGCTCCCTATGGGGCCACGAAACGCTGCCCTGGGTGGGGGAACCGCATGCGAACACCCCCACTGGGGCCTTCGGTGGAGCTCCCTATGGAGCCACGAAGCGCTGTAATGGGTGGGTGAAACGCAGAGAGGAGGGAGGAGAGGGAGGAGGAGGGAGGAGGAGGGGGAGGAGGAGGAGAGGAGGAGAGGAGGAGAGGAGAGGACGCGGGCACCGTCTCTTCAAAACGAGGACCCAACACCACAGGATGGTTGGGAATAATAATACTAATAATAATAATAATTTGAGGGAGTTTCTGTGGAACTCACGTCATCCTCACCCCCGGCGCGAAGAGCACGAGCCCAGAGCGGCCTCCGGCACCGTTTCCGGACGGATCCGGTGGATCCGCCGACGAATCCCAAACCGGCGCCCTCGCCTGAGACATCCTCACAAAACAGGCCCCGGGGGAGATGCCCAGAGCCCAAACCGGCGCCCTCGCCTGAGACATCATCACAAAACGGGCCCCGGGGGGGATGCCCAGAGGAGCCCAGAGCGGCCTCCGGCACCGTTTCCGGACGGATCCGCTGGATCCGCTGGATCCGGTGACGAATCCCAAACCGGCGCCCTCGCCTGAGACATCCTCACAAAACGGGCCCCGGGGGGGATGCCCAGAGGAGCCCAGAGCGGCCTCCGGCACCGTTTCCGGACGGATCCGCTGGATCCGCTGGATCCGGTGACGAATCCCAAACCGGCGCCCTCGCCTGAGACATCCTCACAAAACGGGCCCCGGGGGGGATGCCCAGAGGAGCCCAGAGCGGCCTCCGGCACCGTTTCCGGACGGATCCGCTGGATCCGCTGGATCCGGTGACGAATCCCAAACCGGCGCCCTCGCCTGAGACATCCTCACAAAACGGGCCCCGGGGGGGATGCCCAGAGGAGCCCAGAGCGGCCTCCGGCACCGTTTCCGGACGGATCCGCTGGATCCGCTGGATCCGGTGACGAATCCCAAACCGGCGCCCTCGCCTGAGACATCCTCACAAAACGGGCCCCGGGGGGGATGCCCAGAGGAGCCCAGAGCGGCCTCCGGCACCGTTTCCGGACGGATCCGCTGGATCCGCTGGATCCGGTGACGAATCCCAAACCGGCGCCCTCGCCTGAGACATCCTCACAAAACGGGCCCCGGGGGGGATGCCCAGAGGAGCCCAGAGCGGCCTCCGGCACCGTTTCCGGACGGATCCGCTGGATCCGCTGGATCCGCTGGATCCGGTGACGAATCC